CGATTAGAAAAGAAATGCAGGTCTGCTTCAGTCGTCAGATCTGGAGGCTACATCTGTTTTTATATACAGTCTATGGAGTTGACTACTGCTTAAACTTGTTCTTATGTGTGCACATCTACAGCAGGACTGTAAATTCTCTGTATATGCAAGTAATCCCTGGCTTTCAATAGTTAATTGCAGAGATGATTACAGGCAGCAGAGTTCCACAGTGCTGTAAACTAACTTTCCACACAGTCTCTCTCTGTCTTCTTAAAAACAAAGAACAAAGCAGTGCGTTTGGCTGTTTCCGATTAGGCCGAAACATTTTGAGAAATAACCTTGTTTTGGTGTCGAGTCTACTGAAAGCGATGCGTGTCTCAGTCCCGCTTTGACAGAAAGTTGTCATAGGTGCTTCGTGGTCTGAATTAACTCTAGAAATAGATGCTGATCATAGATACATTTTCTTATATAGATATATTTTTACAACTGCCTGTGATCCAGATGCCATGACAGTAATTCCAAACGATAGCACATCCACATTTGCAGGCAAAGTTGACCTGTACTCTTAATAACTTCCCGCTCGAGTCCTTTAACAACCACCAGAGTGTGTTTAAAAATACAATACACCTCTGTGCCTTCATTCCCCTCTGCTTGGCTGTAGTTACACTGTTGGCAGTTGGCGTGGTTTCCATATAGCACGCAAGGTAATGCCCCGTGCAGGCTGCGTTATAAGCATCTGATCCTACGTGAAGAGAAAGGAACTAAAAGTAGTAAGAAGCAACACTCATTAGAACATTTACCGTAAACTATCAGAAATATTCAGATTTAATATCAGTAAGTGCACACACAGCTAACTTCAATATAATGCATTTAGTAGGTGTCAATCTGTTAAGCCGATGTTAAACACGTAACCCACATTTGAACTTACTAACTTTTCTCTGCTTAAACAGAGTGATGGGTGAAAGAAGCACAGAAAAAACAAATTCTCATCGAGTGATTAAACCAGCATTAACTCTCCTCACGTGTTCCTGTGATAAACAAACCCTGCACACGCTATCTCCATCACTTTGGCACGGCACCTGTGGCTCGACTCTTTCTTTGTTGCACGCGCACAAGCTAACCGGACCTGCAAGCTTTTTAAAACTTTCTTTTAGAGTTTAAGCTGACCTTTGCAAAGCTTTAACCGTACACATTTGGAATATTTCTCTTCAGTGAACTTTTGAAAAACTCAGGTGATTCTGAGTTCTGTAAATCTGCCTTCTACTAATCAACTAACTCATATAATAACCCGACCGCTGAAATGTTTTTAAAAGTCACCTGATTTGATTGCTCTGATTTTTGTTGTTGCTGGCTGCTACCTGTAATGTGAACTTGCAACAGATGTTTATGGATATTATTTCCTGATTTAACTAATAACTATGATAGATATATTTATGCATATTGTTTGTATTGTTTGTGTGATTGTTTTTTGTAATTCTACCTATACATAAAGCCATTGACTGCAAATACTAGTTGTATTTTCTTTTTAATTATTTTACCCCATAAATGTAGCATTTTGCCTTTTTTATACTTTTTCATAGGCATACATAGATCCATAGGACCTTTCTCTCCCACAGCTGCACTGCCGCTGATCTTCATTTCAGCTTTGACCTTTGGCCTCTGGGGGCTTCTTAATGTAAGCCTGGTCTTTACCCTATTCAGTTTGATGCTTTCTGTTTCAACAGGAATAAAACCCAGAGTGAGAGCACGTGATACCACTGTGTACATCTGTGAGGAAAGTGCTTTAAAAAAAAACATGATTAACGCTGTAAAACTGAATGTGTGTGAATGGAGGAGCCAGAGTGGCAAAATCAGACAGCATCAGACTCTGACTATACACATGCAGAGACACAGATGGGAGAAGATAACAAAGAGTTTATGAATATACAGATGTTCAGCAGCTGTGTTCGCTCGTGTGTTTGTGTTTTACGTACAGTTCTCTAACAGGATGCAGGTACTGGACCATGTCGTCAGCAATCTTCAGCACATTATGCTTGAAATGATGATGATGGCTATCAGACAAGCTGCAATGCTACCATCTATTCAGTAGGTGGTAGAATTTGCCCTCTTTTACATATAAAAATTGAATGTGTGCGGCGATAATATACATTCACGTGAATGCTGGGAGACTGCAGTGTGCGAACAGGAGCTTACTGGGTTTGAAGGAGTAGAAGAAAGAACAGTTGCTGTTGTTGCTGCTGTGCATAAAACCGTAATACTGACACTTAGGCTGGCATTTCAAAGACTAATAATGATAAACAGCACAGAAACATGAAAGTGTGGAGTGATTAAATCTTTGGTAATCTCTTTGCATGAACTATGCAAAGTAGAGTGAACATGTGCAGAAACTACATTCATTTAAGTTTCTATTAAGACGTGCTACACAGACTGTTCAGTTTGCTTCACAGCAAAGATGTACTATATCGCCTAAAGTATTCGCTCACCCATCCAAATCATTAAATTCAGGTGTTCCAATTACTTTAATGGCCACAGGTGTATAAAATCAGGCATGCAGACTGCTTCTACAAACATTTTGTGAAAGAATGGGTCGCTTTCAGGAGATCATTGAAATCCAGGATGATACCAGGATAGGTCCACCTGTGCAACAAGTCCAGTCGGGAAATTTCCTCACTACCTATCATTGTTTGCAAAGCACGCTACCACTGGACAGTAGAGCAGGGGACATGCGTTCACTGGAGGGACGACGCTCTGGTGGTTGCCAGTAGAACAGTACTTGACTGCATCGTACCAAGTGTAAAGTTTGGTGGAGGGAAGTTTGTGGTCTCGGGTTGTTTTTCAAGAGTTGGGCTCAGGCCCTTAGTTCCAGTGAAAGGAACTCTTAATGCTTCAGCATACCATTTTGGACAATTTCATGCTCCCAACTTTGTGGGAACAGTTTGGGAACCTGACTGCACATGTGAGCCAGGCTTCTAGTCCAATGTCATTGTCTGACATCAAAATGTGCTTCTGTAAGAAATTTCTAAACCTTGTGGAAAGCCTTCCCAGAAGAGCTGAGCTGGCATATTAAACCCTAGGGAATAAGAATGGGATGTGACTCAAGTTCATATACGTGTGACGGTACAGCAGCAAATACTAATATAGTGTATAATGGCATGAACAAACACTAACAGTTCCTCTGGAGATAATTTCCTAATGAAGCATTTGGTCTTTACTTGCACTTTGCTCGCCTGAGTCTTTGGAATTATGATTCACTGGAAGTGATTTAAGTTCACTGATCAGCACAGTTACACAAAGGTAAACTACAAAGAAGGTAACAGCAGATTGATTTTTAGACTCAAAAAGAAGTTTTCCTTTCATTTGGCCTGAAGCATCCAACAGTTTCAAGCACCTTTATCAATAAAAGTCTAATTACACCTGTCACTACCTCCAAGTGTCTCACCTGTCCCTGGCTCTCTGTGCCTGCCTGCCTGTACATGTGAGATGGCAGCATAGTGATGGGAGCAACCATGAGTGGAACTTGCTGTTGAGACAGAGGAGGAGCTGATCTCAAGCAGGTGTAGCTGCACTTGGACAGCCACCCACAAGATTTAGAGGAAATATTTTTGTAGAAACCGTAATCATGAGTTAAAAGAATCAAGTGTATTTGTTTAGATTAAACAACCTGAGTGTCAGTTATTTTAAAACCATCTATGCCAGTGCTTATCAAAGTCATTCAGTGATGGTTCAGTTTGTGTTGTAAAATTGGGGCGACCGTGATTCAGGAGGTTGGGAAGCTCATCTGTAACCGGAAGGTTGTCGGTCCGATCCCCCAACAAGACACTTTACCCTACCGCCT